TAATCAATATACTTGAACAAGAAGATAAATCTATATTTATCGAAGAATTTCACAAAATATTAACGAATCATATTCGTATTGAATCGATAAACGAACTTAGTGTTAATAATATGGAAAAAATTAAAGTATTTTTAAAAGAAAAACGAGAAAAACGATTAGAATTTGTATCAGTAAAACCTAATTCTTCTAGTATAAAAATTGAATCTACAGAAATTAAAAAGATAATCAATGCAAAATATGAAAATTTAGAAATAAATGTTAAAAATTTACGAATTATAGCAATCAAATTTAATGAACATATCAATGACTTAACATATGCTAATATCAAAGATTTGTCTGTTTCACTCAATAAAGTTAATCTTTATAACATAAATGAAAATAGAGAAAATGTTGAATTAGATTTAAAATATTTTAAATTTTTATTAATTTAATTTTAATTTTAATAAAAGTGATTGTATCGAATTATTAACATTTTTTGATGAAATTTATAATCAAATAGTAATGGATGACTTTGAAAATAATAGAGTAAAAAATAGAATAGAAAATAAAGTAGATAAAAAATTATTTTAAAAGGTTTTAAAATAAACGATCAGAATCATAACATATTTTCACTTTTTGAAGAAATAAAAATATATAATTCTAAAGATATTTCATCCATATTAAATATATTACCATGAAGTTATTTTCATGATAAAAAATGTTTTTTCTTAGAAAAAATAAAACATTTAAATAATATTGAACAATCAAATGAGAATCATTTTAGAATTCTTTTGAAATATTGTTGTTTATATTGTTTTTTAGATAAAAATGAAGAAGAAACTCTAATTCGTTTACAGAATCTAAATGAAAACATATTTTTTTGATATGCATATAATATGTTTGTTCAAATTATCGCAACAAAAAGTCCTATGGCAAGGAACAAGTAGAAAATACTCAAGTGAAGTTTACTTACGCTAATAATGCTTTTGCTGACATAATTACATTTGGTTTGGTACGTATATAATTATTTAAATTATGTTTTGTATTACCATGTGGTGCACGAATGGTAATGTACTATCTCGGTTTTTTTGTTTCGTTTAAGCAAAATACCGTTCATGTTCAATAAATGATTTATTTTTTGAATATACACCTCTTTTATCCAAATGCATTCATTCTATATCCATCATAAACATAATCTTTAGTACGATTTGAATCACCACCATCTGTAAACAGCCATACCGTTCCACTATCCGGACATATTGGTAATGTATTGACAGCATTATTTACATCAGCATTAGTTAATAATACATCTTCATAACTTAGTTCATCGTGTAGTTCTTTTTGGATAAGTCCAGGAGTAGTCATTTATTACTGATAATTTATCATGTGTAAAAATAATGCATCTTATGTAGCACACTTTATAAAATTATTTTAGAAGAAAGGACTAGCGATCTCGAATGACATTCATTTATAATCTTACAATAGTCATTGTTCTTTCAAGTTGATTACAATAGTTGACGTGAATTCATAATCTTCATTTTTAGAAGCAGATATTTTACGATTTGTCGCATTTTTAGATCGTAATTAGATGGTGCAACAGCTTATGCTTATGCCGACTCTTCCTTGATTCATGATTTAAAGAACAAAACGTAGAAGACAACAGAAACATAAGCTATATTTTGTTTTCATTTTTTCATACTTTTGTTCTTAAAAGATATTGATTTCTCATTTTCTTATACATATGATATTCGCTTTCTTGTTTTATTCATTCTATAATATGACCGTTCTTGTACTTTATTTTCAAGTTTATTCATGCATAATCGTTCAACGAAACATTGTTCAAACGACATAGACACATCATTTCATTTCTTTCCTCGTTTGCATTGAAACACAGAAGGTATGAACTATAGTTGACTCAAAATGTTCATACACTAATACGCAAAAATCTAACATGAGAAACTATTATCAACGTTTGGCTCTAAAATACTTTTTGAATGTTGATTACATATAATTAGTGGGTTCTATCTTCGCACCTATTTTGCAGTAGTATGCAATCGCCAGAAATCAGACCTCTCATCAATGCAGTCTCATATGCTGTTCTTTTAGACGAATTTGAAAGATGCCGTCAACCTTGGCGAAAGTACGTGAGCACAGTGATTTATTAAGATGGTTGATGGTCATCGTTGGTCTTCTATTTCTCACTATGATTAGGGTGTCCATATCACCATCGCCCGTATAGACCAAATATGTTCTATATGTAGTTTATGTATATTTGGTTCATTTTATGGTTTATTTATTTTGTTTATTTCCGTACCTGCTTATATGCTGCCGTACCTGGTGTCCTTATTCTGATATACGTTGTGTTTTGGATCGACCATCAGTTACTATCAGATCAGTAATTATGTTCAATATTTTAACTATTTTTCTTCATATTTTATGTACAACATTATGTTCACCTTTTCCATTCTTCGTCTAGTTGACAGCTATTACTTTTTCCATCAAGAAAATTCATTCTTTTACAATAACCTATAAAACTTGATATCTTCACAGCATTTTCCATAAAGTCACCCTCACCCCTCACAGTAAATACCCT